TTAAAATATATTTTAAAAAATTATAAAAACTAAACAGTATTTTTACAGTCTTTATTTTACAGTTAAAATAAATGTTTATCAAATAAAGTCTAATGTTACAACTAATCCTGGATCCCTTTCAGAGCCGGCTCCTAACGATGCCCCTCCCCCCGCAGGTCCAAACGCCATCTCTGTCAGCCTGTCACCGGTGGGCTGTTACGTGATGGTGGGTCTGGCCTCCCGCAGAATCCTGCTGCATCCCACCACCGACCACATGGTGGCGCAGGTCTTCCGCCTGCAGCAGCCGCACGGAGGAGAGACGTCCATGAGGGTGAGACGCTTCAGTTAGAGACAGACTCCTGGATGTTCCAGGACCTCTGCTGCACATCCAAAAAGACTAAAGTCAGGTTGTTTTCTGTGTTTGTGGCTCAGATGGTCTTCAGCGTGGTCTACCCCATGGCTCCGGACCAGAGGCGTCACGTCAGCATCAACTCTGCTCGCTGGCTGCCGGACCCGGCCATGGGCCTGGCCTACGGAACCAACAAGGGAGACCTGGTCATCTGCCGGCCCGTGTGAGTCCTCCTGCTCCAGCTTCACGTCTCCTGTCAGGATTCTCAGTGTCACATTGTTTATACAGGGTCACACTTCAGACAAATAAATCAAACAACAAAGCAACACAAACTGTTAAAAACAACTAAGATCAATTTCAAATAGAGAAATAAAACCTTTGGTCTGAATTCCTCTTTAATGTAACTCCACAAGCCCCGCCCCTTGTCTGAGGTGTGTCTCAGGTCAACTCGTTTTGAGGCTGTCTCTTCACACACCCTGCCCCCTCCAGCTTCCAGACCAGTTCATTCCAGTTTATTAGAGGGTTTTACAGTTATATAGCTGCGCAGAGATGTTTTATTTACAAATTAAAAGATGTGAACAAAATAAGACTTGTCATCCTCACATGTTTGAGCCGGAGTCTGAGCCAGGGTTATTATAGTTTACTAAAACTGACTAAATAATGGAAACTGAAACAGAAAAAACATTTTAGTAACTAAAATTAATAAAAACGAATAAAATGAGAAAACGATAACTCAAACTAACTGTAATTATAGGCAGAATATCCTTAGTTTTAGTGTTTCAGTTTATTTTAATGGAGTAGTTTCCATCAGCTGTGGTCTGTAACAACACTTGTTTACAGTCTGCTGCTGCTCAGCATCACCTGCTAAATGACAACAACAGTTGGGAGAAAACAACAACAACAACAACAACA